TTATGCAAGTGATCGCAAAAGGTAGGTGTAAAGCAACAACCATTCATGCAGTTAATGACCAGAATACTTCAAGTCCTGTGCAAAAACGCATGATCGCACGGGCCCGTCCGGTGCGTTCCAGCCTGGGTTTTCATTAACATTATTTTATTGTCATTGCCGTTTTTGATAATGTTATTATTATTATTGTCGCTATTGTTGTTGTTGTCACTGCAGGTTCTGCTGTTGTAGAATTTGTGCTATGGTTATTGACGTTGTTATTGTTATTCTCTTTGTTTATTGTTATTGTTGCCATGTAGCGATGTTTTCATTGTTTTCAGTGTTGTTGTTTGTTTTACCGTTCTTATCGTTGTTGTTGCCACCGTTGTTTTCTTATTGTTACAGCAGCAGGGTGATCCTGAGGAATATTTTTGGTGTTCATGTCGTTCACCTGTCGGTCAGCCGATTGTCCATGTTTCAGGGAAGTGGAAGATCGTTGAGTGGTGAAGTGCGCGAAATGATGCGCATCAACAACAAGAACACCACCACCACCAACAACAACGACACTACCACAAAACTTCATTGCCCAACCACTAGCAACGATTAGAGGGATGTGGTGGTGGCTGTCGCAGTACTGCTAAATGTTGCTGATGGGCACTCTCAGGTGAAGGACGACGATGATAAAATTACGGTGATATTGGTGCTGACGATGATGATGATAATGATAACAACAATAACGATTGCGATCGGCGAGCTCTTCCATAAACTTTTCTTCGCATACATCACTCATTCAGCCTTTTGCAATCAAGAGCAACCTACACTTTCGGCCTATTACCTGCGAAATCATCCATCATCCAGCAACCTCCCTCTTTCGCAGCACTCAGCTCCTCTACCACCATCACTATCCTATAGTTCCATCAAAAGAGCAGTAGCAGCAGCAACACCTTGACACCCCCATCCACACTCATCGTCGCCAAATCGGAACAACGGCGCCAGCGAAATGAATCGTCTCTACTACTCCTTGAGAACGAATTATCAATAAGTGACGAGGGGCACATGAATCATCATCACCTCGGTGCCGGGACTCCTCGACAATGAGAGCACAAGCGGCCTCAAAACCGGATTAAAGAATTACGCACTATTGCATACTTGTAACAGACCAGAGACAGGCTCACGTATACCTCGAGGTACCGCGGATAACATAAGAATCCTTGCGTGAAAAGGAGGCAAGATTGTTTGTAGAGCTTCTGCAATAAAATTTGTACTCCACTCGACAATTCTTGTACAACACTTGCTTTTTAGTCGAACATCATGCTTGTACTCTAATTTAACAACTTCTCTACAAATATTTTTGAAGTGCCCCGATTCGTGGTGCAAGCACAAATTGGAGCTCGCTTCAGGTATAAGTTTCCCAGATGGACGACAGATATCCTGAAAAATTTTTAGCTACTGGTCCCCGACTAGAGTATTCCAGAGTTTCAGTGTAAAGCCAGAGAAAGCTGATATGCCATCCGATTGTGCAATTGGGAGGAAACAGTA